GCTGTGGCTTGACCTGGGTGTCCACCAGCGTCTCTTGGATGGCTTTCCGCTTCGCCAGGAGCTGTTTGTGTTCGTCAACGTTGAGCATGCCGAGTTTAATGGAGAGCCACTTTAAAGTGCCCCACCACTTCTGGAGCTTCGCCGGGGTGACCTCCAGCGTGACCGCCTGGTTCATGAGGTGCCGGACGTCACCGGCCGTCCAGGGGAGGTTCTGGAAGCCGATCTTGCGCATGCCCTCATAGGCCAAGCAATGTGCTCGGATGGTCCGGAACCGGGCATCTCCAAATAGGTGGCCGAACTCCTCCAGCTCCCTGGCCCCCATCACCTGGTGCATGTAGGGGATCTGGTGGCGGAAAGGAATGAAGTAGCCAGGAGGCGTTCCAGCCACCTGGCCCTCAAGTGCTGTTCCAACGCTCGTTGGGATGTCGGCAATTGGGTTTTGATCTTCCCTGGTTTCCAATGCCGCCACTTGTTGGCCACTGCCAGGACATCCGGGGCCTCAATCGATCCGGAGAGGATCCACTCCTCGCGGTCCCGGATGGCCTGCTCCATTTCCAGTGGAGAATAGGTGTGCGATTGTCTGGCGCCTGCCGCACGAAACAGAAGTTGTTGCAGGGTCTTAGTAGCGAGCTCCAAATCCGCCTCCTCCAGCGGTTGTGGTTGGGAGCCGAGTATCCTTGCGAGGATCTAGTTGTAGGTGTCCGAGGCCACCAGGACATGGTTGCCGTCAGGTGCCAGCCCCACGATTCGTGTCCACGGCCGCGGGTCAAAGACCACCGCATCCGGGTTGGCAACCTGGTCCTTTTTGACCCATTCCAGGCAGCACGCCACGAGGATTTCCCCGTCCGACTGCACTGGTGCAAATCCAAGGTCATGCAAAATCAACTGGAACGCGGTTGGTACCCCAAGGAAGGTCGTTCCAAACGGGGAAGGGAGGCGGGGCCTCCACATCATCGTGATCCACTCGAGCCAGGAGCCTAATCCCTAGGCGCAAACCCCAATCAAACAACAGGGGAGCCCCCAAAACCCCGGAAAGCCAACCCGAAACGGGGGAAAAGGGGGGGGGGACCCAGGAAACCGCCCCGGAAAGGGAAGAACCAAACAAGGGAGGGGAGCCAAGGCGCACCCCGGACCAGCCCAAGCGCGCCAATTTTTCTCGCCTGGTACAGGTCTAGGCCTGTGCTGTGCCCAGGGGGGGATATCAGCGCCCTCGGCAGCTGTCCCCCCCGGGGTGCGCTGCGAATCCGTTCCGGATGGCCGCAGTGCTGTATGATCATACGGCCCCCTTTGCAATGTCGTCAATGCGCTTGAGCGCCGCCGCCTCCGGATTCCGGAGAATCAGCTCCCAGAGGGCGTTTGAAACATGGCCGGTCTGGGTGATGTGGCTGAACCTAAACCGGGGGACTTTCTGGTCCACCACGGAGACATCCCGCAGCGGGGCAGAGGGCTCTACCCGGCGGTAGAACTCCAACCGCTCCTTGACCCAGCGGTTGTACAGGCCCTCCGGCGGCTCGTCCAGCACCAGCTGAAGGATGGCCTTGCCGGCCCGGATCTGGAGGAGGCGGGTGCCCCCTCCCCCGGCGCGCCAGTACCCCTTGCAGTACTTGCACATGTAGCCCCCCCGGGTCTCCCCTTTGGTCTTCGGGATGAGTTCCCACGGGGTGACGGAGCTCAGGACCAGGCCACACTCCATGTGCGCCCAGAAGACATGCTTCGTCTCCGCCGGATAGTTCTTCTTCCGGTAGTCCTTGCCCACCACGCCGTGGACGTTGTCCGATGTGATGGGGGGGTAAACGATCCCCTCATCGCCCTCTCCTCCCCTGGGGCGGATGTCAGGGCCATCGGCACCTGTCCGGCACCCAGGGGCGGAGGGGTCAAGGCCCATCAGCTTGATCATGTCGTTGGTGTAGCCAAGCTTGCGGTAGATGGAGGGGGCTACTGAGTCGGGGACTGCGCCGACCCACCACTGCTTCGTGTTGCAGCGCCAGTTGACTTTCACCTCCGCCAGGGCCCCCGGGCCTCCAATGCGGTCCATGAGGGCCTTGTACACCTCTGGGAACTGCTGGAGACTCTCCACCGGGACAGATATGCGCTCATCACATACCGCCCGAAGGATCATCTGTTCCTTGGAGTCCGCCACGTCCTGGACCGGGAGCTGCATCACCTCCGCCGGGGTGTCCGTGAGGAAGGCCCGGGCCGCGAGGACCTTGCCCATGGCCCGGTAGACCAATCGCCACTCCGGTCCTGTCTGCGGAAACGGAAGGCCCTCCTCCTTCAGGAAGCACCGCGCGTCTTCCTTCAGGGTCTCCCAGCCCTCCAGGCGGATCTGATTCTGGGCCTTGTTCTTCGGGCCCCGCTCTAGGGCCCTGAAGCAGTGGCAGGGACTCCCAGACTCCCCAGAGCTGGCGCAGGGTGAAGCTGTGACCAAACATCCCCAGTAAGCCTGGAAGTGTCCAGGACGAGATCTGGCGCGCCCAGTGGAAGTCCTCATCCGGATCGTGGGGGGCCGCCCAGAAGATGGAACGCAGGTCCTCGGGGTAGGGTCGGTCCCCCGCCTTAGCCTGCTGGTTCAACTCATCAACGGAGTACCTGGCCCATGGGAGTCCACCCACCTGGTGGTTCCTGGGATGCGTACCCTTCTCCAGCGCCTCCGGATTCACCTTGGTGAGGTTGTTGGCCCAGTCCGGGACGTGTACGGGGCCCGGTCGTCGGACCCAGCGGCCCGCAAAGATACGGACCTCTCCGACCCGTTTGCTCATCATCCAGCGCAGGACCGCGAGCTGCACCTCCGGGTCCTGGGTATCCAGGCCCCCTGGGGTGGCAGACGGCTTGTCAGGGCCCTCGGCACCTGAGCTCGTCGCGCCAGAGCCCGAGGCTGGGGGGATGGTGGGCTGCCTGTCAGGGCCCTCGGCACCTGGGCGCGCCGCACCAGAGCCCCCCGCCTTTGGAATGGGGATCCCCGCCAGATCCGGCAGATCTGCCAGGAGGGCCGCCGGAAAGGGGTTCCTACCCAGCGAGATGACCGCCTTGGCTTCGAGGTAAGAGTCCGTGAGGGACGTGAGGTCGTCCATGCTGAAATCCCTCCATGCCGTGGTCGGCTCAAAGACCCCCGTCTCAATGGCAACTCGGACCTCGTTAGGCCACGCACTGAATGGAGGCTTGATGGGCTCGCATTCTGGTCTCGTGGGCGCCCTTCGCTTGTCTGGCCTGGTGCTTTGCCTTCGCCTCCTCCGCAGTGGTCTGGGCCTGGAGGAGCTCCGGTGTGGGCCTCCCCCAGTCCGCGCCCAGCTTATCCAGCAGTTTTTCGCGGAAAAGGTCCAAGTCCAAATTCTTGAGGAGTAGGCCCCCATCGCCTCCTCCATCAATGGCCCCTCCTTGAAGCTCGTGGAGGACCGCCGCGGATCGCTCCACCGCTGCCACCTGGTCTGCCTTCTTGGCCTCCTCCTGGGCAATGGTGGTGGCGTTGAGCCGGGTCTGGATTTTGAAAGCCTTCACCGCCGACGGGTGGAAGGCCCTGCATTCCTGGCCCTCTTCCTTGTCGCCCGGCAATGGAGGCCTCTCCCCCATTGGGGCCGTCAGGAAATCCTCGTCCAGCTCCATGGGGCAGTTCCTGAGCACCGCCCGGACCGAGGAGGGGACAAAGTCCGAGAAGCTGGCCTGGTCCGGGTTCTCGCATGCCATCGGGTCGGTGGCCAGCTCGCTGACATCCACCGAGGCGCTGAGCTTGAGGTCGCGGGCCCGGTCCGTATCAGGGCCATCGGCACCTGCGGACCGGGCCGCCGTCCAGACCGCATTGCCCTGGTCATCCACTGTCAGCTGCCAGTGCGTGCCCGCCATTTCCAGGGTGGCCGAGTTGGTCGCCATGTCAATGGGCTCCGTCTTCTTGCCGCACCCCATACACTTCCTGGCGCCCTTCTTCACCCAGGGCATGGTGCAGCAGGGGCAGATCCAGGATGTGGGCTCCTTACCCAGGGGGCGGTTCTCCAGGCCCCCATACCCCAGGCCAGCGCGCTTGCCGACCTGCTGTCCCGGGGTGCTGAGCCGGGCCTCATGCTCATACTTCATCTTGGCGATGTAGAACGCCTCCACCACACGCTCCAGGCCCCCCTGCTTGAGTTGGGGGCCCTCAAAGCCTCTCAGGAGCCGCTGGACGTCCTTGGCCTGCAGTCGGCGGAGCCTAGTGGCCGTGGTCGCATCAAAACACGGGAAGTCGCCCGCCATCTGGTCCTCGCTGAATTGGTAAAGGCCCTCAGAGACTTTGAGGGCCTTGGTGAAGACGCTTCCCCCCGGCGGGGGGGCTGCGGGGTCCTCATCCTCCTCCGAGGACGCCTGCTCCCTGACCTTCGCCATCAGATCACGGCGTCTCTGCCACTTGGTGTCGGACATCGGGAGCTCCTCCTCGTCTTCCGCCAGGAGTTCCTCCATGGGAACATCCTTCTCCGGCGGGTTTAGGAGCTCCAGGAACGCCCCTGGGGGGCGTGTCAGGGCCTTCGGCACCTGCGCCACCCCAGGGGCTGAGTCTGCCATCAGCTCGTCCTCTGCCTTGCGCTTGGCTGGGATGAGTGGGGCCTGCTCCAGCTCATCGGCGCTGGAGAAGAACCGCTCGTCAGGTGCCTGAGGGACCTCAGCAGCCAAGACGGTCCATCCTTCTTCCTCCTTCTTCACGAGGCTTGCCAGGTACTTCGCCATGGAGGCCTTTGCCTTCGCCTTGGCCTCTGCAACCGCGGCACCAGCGTAGGCGGGGGCGTACATGGCTTTGATAGGAGGGGAAAGAAAGATTTCAGATTACAAGACAGAAGGTCAGAGTCCACTTGAGCCAAAATGGTGGCCCAAGTGGACACTTATGAAGAGTCAAGACAAGCGACCACCTGCGGTTAACGCTTTAGCCCAACCTAACCCCCAAAACGTGAACAGAGCCCAAAAAAAACAAAGATTCCACCAAAGCCCCAAAACAATCCACGAGACGCCGAGTGAGTTGCTGTGGGCTCGGGACCCCAGGCCACTCCTCGCTGCTGCGCTTCAGGCGCTTGCCCACGCCCGGAGGCGCCCCCACCTTAGGAAGGACGAGGGGGCGAGCGAGCGAGCGAGAGGGGGGCTTAATGGAGATCCGAAACAGATCATTGGGCCCGTTTTTCGCTTGGTTTGGAAGGGAGGGAGAGCCCTGAGTTGTTGCTTGCATGGTCTGGGAGGAATCGTGAATTTTGCGAGCTTTGCCCTGGATGTAACTTACATCCCACTTACAAAGGTTGTTCGTCCCCTGCAACCAGGGTTACTAGCCATGTAGCGAGTCGTCCCAGACCATCTTAGAAAAGGTGGTTTAATGCGTCATCGACGTAAACCAACAGGGTCATCGTGCCCTTTTTTGCTGAATGTTGCTTGAAAAATTGGGAAAACGAATTGCCGGGGATGTGCGAGGATTCCCTTTTTTATGGAAACCATGGTTAAAAATTACCCGACAAATATGTCCGCATCCCTACTTCCCCGGTATCCCTGCTAACTTGTTTGTCTGATGAATGGATGGGTCATTGGGGCTAGACCTAAACAATGATCCATGAAAGAATCTGGTTGGTCTTCGCCGACCGCTCTACAAACAGCGGAAAAAAGCACGGCTCCAGGACACGAAAAGACCGGATATCCCGCAGATAGGTCGAAACTCCTTGGGCTTGGGACATGGCTAGGGTTCCCTTCAATCGCAGGGTCAAAAAGCATGCACCCAAAAGCGTGCTTTGACCATGGACCATATGTGAACACTGTATATACCCAGCTACCACAACAACCACCGCCAGTGGGAAAACAAAACCAACCCCATTTAAACGGCCGCTGAGAAGTAGAAGCGTAGAAACCAATGCGTACCACTTGGTCCAACCCAAAAGGATACGTGGGGCGGGTGTTTTTTTTTTTTTGGGGGGGGGGGCAAAAAATTGGTGTCCTCTTGGTTTCTCTGTTACCACGAAAAGGGGGGGTACCAACTCCGAGTTGCGTGAGTCCCCATGGTTAAAACTTCATGATGGACCCGTAGAAAGTGTCTTGTTCCTTCAGAATTATCGGACTATGTTGTTGCTTCGCCATGTAATATGTATTTTTGTCCAACAAAAATCCGGCAGAACAAAGGGAAACAATGCAAAGCCTGAGGTTTTGCATTTCAAGCCTTGGCTTACCTAAGCCTGGGCTCAGATGCTTGTTTGCCCTTCTTCGGAATTCCCGTTTTGCAAGTCCCCGAACCATCATGTGTTATTTTTCCCAGTTCCAAATAAAGTGCTGGGAATCTGAGATCAAGTTTTGGCAAAACTTTATTTGGAATAGACCCTCCCCCCCAACTTTCGGCGAAAGAGGCTCCAAGAATGACTGTTGGCCAACGCGAATGGGCCATATAATTTCTTCGAAGAAAAATCCCTCACTTGCGTCCCCCCCCTTACCCTCCCATGGTGTTCGGGCCCCTTGACCCTTGGCGCCAAAGCCCTTGGCCCCGCACCGCCACCGCCACCTTCCAGTTCTCCTGCACCTTCTCCGGCATCAGCGATCCCAACCTACCGGTCGCTACGGCGGTCAGCCGCGGGCGCGGCTCAGAAGCGACGACTTCGCCAAAGGCCCACCGAAAGCTCACATCTCAAATGCCTCAAGTTGTCAAATCGGTTTTTGTTCTTCTTCTTTTTTCCGGGACCCCGCCCCCAAAAAATGGTTGTCTACCTTTTGGTTGCTTGTACAAATTAGTGAGTCGACAACCAGCGTCAAACATGTTGTTTTAAACAACCAAACCCCGACCAACACCAGGAAAACCAAAGGTAGTTGTTTAAACCAAAGGGAAACTAAAAGGGTCGCCAAGGGAACGAGCAACCTGAGCTCCCTGCGTGCGCGCCACATCCGCCACCTGCTCGCAGAGTTCCCGGGTCGCTGTCAAAATCAGCGTGTCCGGTGCCTCGCGCCGCGAGGTTTTTGGGCCCATGCATTCGGCAACCGCCGGGATAGGGCAATCCTTTTGCTGGTTCGATAGGGAATCAGGGAATGGCCCCCTACAAACCATCCACTATGGTTTCCTTTAACGATCCCTAGGTTCATTCCCAAGCTCTGGGTCATTCCCTACTGAGCACCAGCAAGTCCTTCTGGTTGATTGGTTCTGAGACCCTTGACGCGCGGCGTCAAAGCAAATTGGTCACGTACCCAGCTGGATTGCGATTTTTTTTCGATGGAAAGCCACCCCTTGCTAACCCAAACCACCAAACCCAAATCATCATAAGTTGGCCGGCGAACTTACGGTTCAATGTTCAGCCCCAAGTTGCGGTTCAGCTCTTGGAAAGAAGACAACAAAAAGTGGTGGCCCCTGCCAAACCAATCCCCAAATGTCCAGCTCAGAACCCCCGCCGACGTGAGGGTTGAAATCTAAGATCTGCTCGGTTTGAAGGGAAAAAAGGGATGGCCACCTGTGCAGGGGGTGCAAATCCCTATTCTGCCACATTCCAAAATCAAGCCGCAGGTCAACTCTGAAAAAGCCCCCCCTCCACCTACGTTGGTCCTAGGATCCCAGCACAGCTTGCCCACTTCTTCTTGGTCGTCAGCACCTTCCTGCGGCTACAAAAGGCGGGTCCTGTGTTTTGTTTTTGCGAAAGGCGCCCCTTTCACCTTGAGAAACCGTTTGGCCACTGTTTTTCTTGGCCCCCGATTGTTTTACACACACTATGCTGAGAAGAACCTCGAAGAGTCGTTTGCAGCCTGTCTCCCCAAATCCTCTCAAACCAAAATGGGTGTCAAAAACTGGTGAGAAGTGGCAAAGTGTCCACTCTGAGTGGCTGCTTATGTGTCCCATTGGAAGGTCCCACAATGGCCAAGTGATGTGAACACTCGCCCAAGTTCACAAGGTTTGTTGGTTGCTTAGCAACTCATTGAGCAAATAAAGGTTCTCGAGCACCAGTCAGTTAACCTTCTAAATTGTGACTGTTGCCTCTCACCTGCAAAAGTTCATCTGCTGAAAGATACCCCTCCTATAGGGGTTGGTGTTCAACAAGCCTACCAACCATTGTTTGCAGGCTGAAATGTTGAAGAAACAGGAGCAGTTGGTCACACCAAAAACCTTCCCAAGACAAGGTTGAACTGAGACCATGCGTTATCCCTGGGAATCCATTTTCTGGCAGGGGGCCTGTAGTTTGAGAGAAACCCAAAAGCTTTCAGCACCAAGGCCACCAAAAGAGGTAAGATTGGCAAACCGGGCAAAACACACACGTACACACACACACACACAGCGCACACACACACATACACAAACACACAACAGGGGTACATATTCAAACCCGGAAAAATCAAACCCCAAACTGTCCAAAGACAAACCCTTGGCAAACGGCAGGCCGCGGTAAGCCGAAAAGCCGAGCTTGGCATCCCGCGCCTCTCGTCTTGCAGCATCTTCCTGGGTGTGGGGATGGCCTTCACCTGTCCGAGACTGGCGGAAAGAACAAGTGCAAGCGGGTAGGACCAAAAACCATAATACATACACGAGCTTAATGGTAAGAGTTATGAAGAGTCTCACTTTCCAGACGCGTCTGGAAAGCTCATTTGAGCATCATCAAAAACTCAAAATCAATACAAGACACACATCTGGTAAGAGTCATAAGCCAGACGCCAGAAATTTCGCCAATGGAAGCGTTCAATGAGACGTCCAAACTCTGAAACCCCAGGTCCGAACTGAAAAAATCCTAAGCTTGAGCCCTCACTCAGCTAGCCACTTCTCAAAGCCCGATGGATGTCCATTGGCTCATGGATTCAGGGGAATTCTTCCAAAAAAAAAAGGGGAAGAGCACCCTGGGCTGGCGACCCCGGATGACAAGCTTAAATAAAAGAAAGAAAGAAAGACATCTATTCAGGAAGTGTTCTGGTCCAAATGTGATGAATCCTCAAAATTCGGACCCCCGCCGGCCTAGTAATTTGGATCCGAACTCCGCTTCGGCCCCCTCGCGAAAACGCGGGCGAAGTGACCTTGGCCGCCCCACGCCCTCAAGGCCATCCCAGCGCACGCCCACGTAGGGCAGCAGCCGCCGGATAGTGCCCTTCTGCCCGCACCTCGCCAGCGTGCGGCGCCAAAATGAGCCAAGGGGAACCCCGGATCTAAGCAGAAGCCCTGGTTGATTAACTAACAGCGGGGAGTGTCCACTTTTACTGGAGATTAATCAATTTTGGAGGGGACCACCCCCCATTGATAGGACGGGCTTGTTAATCTGGGGCCAACATGATGAACGTGAGTTGGGGAGCCATTGAGGACCAGCCACAAGGGTCCCCATTAAATTCAAAAACAAGGGGTTTGTGGGTCCCTGTTCTACCAAATTCAGTACGAAGCCTCTACAGGTTTCTGATTATCTCCATCTCTACTCCACAAAATGTGGGTTTTGGATGCTCAACTGAGCTTTTACTGTTTTCACGGCCCCTTCCGTTTGTCCGCTGGGACGGGAATGGCCCGAATCCAGAATCCAGAAACGTGAAGCACCAACAGGGATGCTCCTGTGGGGTAGTTGAACGTTTGGATTGGTAGTTTGGGGATGTGAAGCCTGGCTTTGAGGGCAAATGGGAAATCCCGGAACACCTAACCACCGATTCGGATCCAAACCACCCATTTTGAGGGAAACTCAAACAACACCACGGCAACCAAACCAACATTCTACCCTCGGGTTTTCATCTCGGAAGCTAACGACGCAAGCCTGACAAGCCTGGCATGCCCGCCCCCCTCCCACTAACATTGCACCTGACACGGGGTCCCACCAAGAAAAAACAAATACCCTCCAACGAGTGCCATGAGAGGAAGGGTAATTGCCAGGCGCCACATCGATGGTGTCAACGATGGCTTCGGATTTTGGGACCATCGGAGAGCATATGGCCATGTCCTTTTTGAGGTACCCTTGGTGTTGTTTAAGGGGAAGCCGATGGGAAACCACCCCATCAGGGTCCCTCAACTAGTGACGCCTTTCCTAAACGTTTGGAGGCTCAGTTGAGAACTGGACACCACACGGCCAACCAATGCGAT